CCCCTGAGCAAATTGAGAACATGGGAAGAGGCAGGAGGGAGCTACAAGAATGAGAAGGGAAGAAAAGGAAGGATGCAGAGGTCGTGAGGAAGCAGAAAGGTTGAGTCAGGTGTAGATTAGAAGAAAGGACATATGATAGGTAATATTTTAGTTGGAGGGGTGGTAGGGGAGGAAGGGAGGGAGAAGGAACTGGGGTTGTCACGTAATTCAATCTTGTTTGTAATTCAAATATAAAAAAAAATTAAAAAAAAAAAGAAAAGAAACCCTCACAATTGGTTTCTGATTTTCATCCTAAACCTACTGTGCCAGACATTCCCAAGTAGCTCTCCTCCCCCAGGGACTGGAAGACTCCCAGCCTCCCTTCCCAGAAAGTTCTGTGTAATATAGGCTGCAGCACTAAGAAGCCAATATTAACTGCAGCTTTGTTCATAGTTAGCAAAATTTAGGACTAACTAAAGCAGACTTCAGTTAGCCCATAGATAAATAAAATGTGCTGGATTCAAACAATGGAATACTAATCAGTATCCAATAAAAATTAACTGCATTCTAATGAAATGAATGTGAAAAAGCTCCACAGTAAATTATTCTATAAAAGGAAAAAACAGGAAGACAATTAAAAAGACCAGCGCCAGGGTCAGAGAGAGCAGGGAGGACAGGGGCTACTCTGCATGAGCCTGTAACAGTGGATATCCACCATGAATTTGTCAAAATGCACAAAACGAACACCATCAAGTCACAGCCCCAGCATAAACAATGTCCTCCAAGTGACACTGTGTCACCTAGGCTCCTCTCTAACAAAGGTTGGTTATGGACTGTGGAGGCACAAGAAAAACTCCTATGCTGCTGCTCTATTAGGCTTCTACAAAAACAAAACAGACAAAAGCAGGTGGTGGCTGGATTGGGGCTGCTACAGAGATCATCCCCATTATGGTACATGCCAGCATGACCAAAGAATTCCCATCCCCTAGTAAGCCAAGCTCTCTCATTTTCCCTGCCTTTGTCCATGCAGAACACTCTACTTATAGGGACTCCCCAACCCCCATTTCACTGGGTCAGTAAACTCCTTCAAAGTTATCTGTAAATGCTTCACTCTTGCCTGTTTACATACCAGCACACCCAAAGTGCTGGTGTGTATTCACTAGCACTTGGGTGTTTACACACTATAGGTATGCTGGTGTGTACACACTAGTACTTGTGATTGTTGCCTAGTGTCCTCCTGCTACAGAGTCCTTAGATCAGATACCATGTCTTTCCACCTTTTGTCACCATGACTACTGTAAGCCTGGCTTTCAGTGTGTTCACTGTAGATAGCAAGCTTCCTTACTCTTAGATCTACTTAGCTTTCTGGGACACACCACCTCTCCCTTGGCTCCTGTCCTACAGAGGAAATGCCAAATAGCTAGCTATGAAATAAACAGATGCAAATAAGTGAAAGTACAATAATACTTTTATTAATAGATGATGAATACATCAATATGCATATTTAGATGGTACTAATCTCCATATTTACTTTCTGAAAATGCACCAGACACTGTCCATAGTCTCAACTGCTCAGAAGACAGCTTGCAGGCTCCCTGGAAGCAGGGACTGTGTCTGTTGCCACTGAATGATGAAATAGATTTACATGTATTACTTTCTCCTTCCCAGCAACACTAATGAGACTACAGGCACATTTTAAAGAAAGCAGAAAGGTGCTAAACTCCATTTCAGGCTGACAGGGTAATATCTCCAAGTCAGTTTTAGTCAGCTCCATGGAAGAATGGGTGGCAGTAGCCAGCAGGGACTGGAAGAATGGCCCAGTGCCTGAAGGCTTAGGTCCCAGAGTCCCTCTCTCCATGTCAGCTTTGCTTCCCCCATTTTCCCCTGGCTCTCCCAGGGCTTCCCAGCAGACTCACACCACCTAAGTTTATTTGTCTTTCCTTTCTGGGATCCACTGTCTGCAGACACAGGCCACGAGCTATTCAGAGCTCACCAGAGACTCTGGGCTGTAACAAGCTTCCCAGAAGACAGCTTTTTTCAACCGTCGGCAGGGGAAAGGGGTACTAATGCCAAGGCAAGGGAGCTAATAAATCTAAGAGGTTTTCATCATAGCAGGACAAAAAAGAAGAGTCACAGAGGGAGACAGAAAACCATTACAGGGAGGTCCTAAAACAGTGACAGTAAAAAACGTCACTGGGAGGGAACATGTTCAAATGCAGATTTGAAGTAACATTAGCTGGAAGGACCCGGGGAAACTCAAGGCCTTCAGCTCTCCATCCTCACGCCACATGTGCATATGAAGCGCTGGGAGTAGGGTTTGATACTAGAATGCTTGCCTGACATGCTCCAGGTTCTAGGTTCAGCTCCCAGAATCAGAAAACATTCACTACTTTTAAAACAAACAGTTATACACATAATAAAGGACAACAAACTGAGCCCACATAGCCAGCTTCTTAACCAAGACCCCTTGTAAAGTTCTATTAATAAAAAGCTCCACCAGGCCTGGTGACACAGGCCTGTAATCTGAACTATTCGGGAGACTGAGGCAGGAGGATCACAAGTTTAAAGCTAGTCCCAGATACAAGAGGAAGTTGAAGGTCAATCTAGACAAGCTAGTGAAACTCCATCTCAAATAAAATAAAATTAAGATGACAGGGACCTACATATAGATCAATAGCAGAACACCTGCCTAGAATACAGAAACCATTTCATTCAATCCCTAACACTGGAAGGGAAAAACAACTTTATGAAGCTAAAGTAAATGAAGTCACATTTCCTTTATTTCATTTCCTTGTCTATGGAACCTTCATAGAGATTCCAGTGGAAGCCAACATTCATGTCGGAGGGCTGACAAGGCTGGGGCAGGAAGGAAAAGTGCCCTACACAGACAGTAGTACTGACTGGATTTCCTCCACCATCCCTCACCTCATACAACAGAGAGGAAGAAAGAAAAGAGAGGATCACAGGTGACCAATAAACAGAAAAACACAAAGGAAATCCAGAAACCCTTGGCTTTCCAACTTCAGCCTGGAATTTCACAACCATTTCTAATCTACAGGAAACCCAAGGAAGGCTGCCAGTTCCAGTGTAGCCCCTTCTATTGGGCTCTTCTTCCCTCCATATGCATCCCATTGGGTCTCCTTAGCTTCTAGGATCGAGTGGCATGTCCTGAATGTCTGGACAAAGGACAAACCCCCAGCGCACACTGTTCAGCCTTGCCCATGCCATACTGGTTTCCTCTCTTGCATGCATCTGCCTGTTCCACGAAACTCTCATCACTATAAAGACCCTGGGTGGGACAAGTGTGGGACAGCCAGCCTCATTCCAGGAACAGAAACAAAACATGAGGGATCCTTACATGTTCTCTGTGCCACTCGTCTTCCTCAGGCCTTCATCATGCACCAGCTCCTCCAAGGACATGGAATGCTGACAGTATATAATGAACCTCAATGGAAACAAGTCTGGAGACAGCTCTACCTGTTGCTAATCAAATATGGAATAGCCTGTGACCAGCCTTCTCAGGCCACCAAGATTAAGCTTTCACCTGGACTCTGAGTCCCACAGTGAACTCTCAGGTTTGTAATTTTAAGACTGGGGTAGTGGCGCATGCCTTTTGTCACAGCAGGAGGTAGAGGCAGGCTAGGCTGGCTGGTCAGCAAGCTTCAGAGACTTCCTGCTGCTGCTCACCCTCCACCACTGCTGCCACCACTGAGATTACAAGTAACACCATGCCCAGAATTTTTATGAGGGTGCTGGGATGACCTGAGTCACCCAGTCATGCTTAACTGAGTCACCTTTGAACCTCAAGTTAAGCGGTATCAGTGTGCCTGACCCAAGACTTCCAGTCCAGCTTAAAAAACCAGAAGGCAGTTCCTAAGCAATGAAGCAAAGAAACCAGTTTCAGAAGGGAGATATGGGGAGGCATCCCTGCTCTAGATAGTCACCAGTGAAGAGATTCTGTTCTCTCCAGTCCTAGATCATTCTTTTGTTGATACAACACTTGTCAAACATATTACAGGTCCTAATCCTGTGAGACCTAACTATATACTACATCTCACAAGTCATCTAGCACAGCAAGTCACAGAAAATGTGACTGGTCTTCAATTGAGGTGACAGTGTTACACAAGCTAGGAGAACTGAGAACAGAGAAGCAGCATCTCAGCATCTAAGTGAAAACTAGAGTCCCAAAGGCAAATGCCCAAACATCCACTTGCTCTTACCAACAAGTTCTGGTCACCTGAACCTCCTAAAGCCACAAAAAAGCCAAATGAGAAGCTGCCCTCTGCCCTCAAGGAGATATGTCAGATGCTGTGGACACAACTCTATTTCCCAAGAGCATCATTCTGTGCCCTCTGGGATTTGCATGGGAAGGTTTCTAGCAGCAATTTGCCTACTGTAAGAAGATACTATTCACAAACTACATTCATATGATTCCCTTCCTGAAAATGTCTGGGGATTTTGTACATTGCAATAACCACTAAACACATCCTCCCTCTCCTCCTCCACCATCTTTCCAATACATTTAAAACTGTTCACTTGCCTAGGAATTCTGTTGTCGTGAAAATGAGTTTAGAGCACAAATACAGGTATAAGAAAGAGTAGTAAGCAGAATCACATCATCCACAAAACATAACAAGTACAAATGAACTCAGACCCTCAGCAAAGAAGGTTATAACCAACATGAGAATGAAAACCATCAGCAATGCCCCAAGAGAGAAATGCAGCCAGAAATTTCATCATCCAAAGAAGCATGTTCTCCATGCATCATGACTGCCATAGCCCCTGATGGAAAAGAGAAGGCCCTCTCTTACCCAGTCACTAACCCTGCCAGCCCCAATCTTTATCAAAGTACTACTGACTCTACTAAGTTCTTGAGAGGAGCAATGTACTCTCTCAAGAACTCCTTAACAGACTGAATCAGTGATACATTCTAAAGATTCTAAATGTGTGGTTCCTTGCCAGTGTGTTTTCCAAAGCTTCAAGCACCTTCCCAGGGCCATCTCATCAACAAGGGTACTCACCGGGACCTGCCACCAAAGCAGTTTGTACTGGGGGGCTGGTGCCGGGACTCTGGAGCTATAGCAGTCCCGCTGGATTCTCTTGAAGGTGGCTGTGATCCTAGATCAATCACAAGAAAAGACAGAAATGTTAAGACATTTCAGCCCTTGTTTGAGAGCTAACCACCAGGCAGAAAACTCCCTCTGGACTTTAGGAGTTATCCACCACAATGGAACAGGGACATCTTGGCAGTGGTAGCCATTCTACAAGCCACTCCTTACAGAGTAGAGACAATCATATGACATCACACAGATGGAACTCAAACTTGGAAACAATGTCTCTTCTTGAATACATTCAAGAACATCCCAGACACTAATATGCAACCTGCCTTATCCACCAGATGAATTTCAGCCTCTCAAAGGTAGGGTCAAGTGAGCACCTGAAATGGGGGCATTTTCCACAATGCAAACAGAGCTTGTAAAGCCAAAGTAAATTATGTCACTCTTCACCTAAAAGGTTCTCCAACAGCTAGCTAGCTGAAGCAAAGATAGGATACCACAATAAACTAGTTTGGGTGGCAGTGAGTTCAAGGCCAGCCTGAGCTATACAGTAAGATCATATCCCCAAAACAAACAAACAGAAAATTATGTATATATGGAGCTGTCAAATGGTTCAGTGGTTAAGAACAATTGTTGCTCCCAGAGGACAAGAGTTGGATTCCCAGCACCCACTTCAAATAGCTTACAGCCATCTGTAATTCAAGCTCAGAGTCCCTCCTTCTGCATTCTGGGGACACCTACACACATGTGGTATATACACATATATGCCACAAAAAATTTAAATTATTATTTTAAATTATGCATATATATGTGACATAAAGGTAGAAGCGAAACCCTGGGAACAAAGGGAACGAACTAGAAAATGAAGCAAGTGAGAGCGTGGGGATAGAAAATGCACAAAGAACATTATACATGTTCATGAAAACAGCCTTATGTAACCAATACTGTGTATGAATGAAGAAACAAAACAACCAACACCAGAGCGACAGTTCTGCCAGAATTATAGTACTTGTCACCAAGCCTCGTAACTTGGGTTCAATGCCCAGGTCCCTCAGAGACCGTCAATTCCCACAAGCTGTCCTCTGGCCTCTATATATTTGTCCCACAAGACAAATTTTTTTAATGTAATAACAAAATGTTTTCAAAAAAGAAGCCAGCTGAGGTGTCACAAGTCTTTAATCCTTGGGAGACAGAAGCAGATGGGTCTCTGTGAGTTCAAGGCCAGTCTATTCTGCATAGTTTTTTCCTAGGTCAGCTAGAGATACATAATGAGATCTTGTCTCAAAACAAGCAAACAAACAAAACCAGCAGAAGCCAGGCATGGTGGCACACACCTCGAATCCCAGAAGTGGGAAGAAGAGGCAGGTGATCTCCAGGAATTCAAGGCTAGCATGGTCTACACAGGGAGTTCCAGGATAGGCAGGATTACACAGTGACACCCGGAAGATAGAGAGGAGGGAAAAATAGTGCCCTTGAGCAGTCTTCTGTTTCTGAGGGTAAGGTTCACCATCCTGATCATAGTCTCTGAGGTGGTGTACTCTGAGTTAGACCCATCTCTCCATCCTTACCTCCTCTACCCTCCTTGCTGCTCCCCAGAATCCAGCCATCCCAGCCCCTCTGTTTTCACCACAGACCCACTCACTCCTTTCTCCCACTGTCTGAACTCACAGTCCAGGTCTCAACTCCCTGAGAACACCTCTCTAGTTTCCATGACGTCCCCTCAGACTACAGGAATCTCAGAACACCCTGCCCTTTCTATCCAAGGTCCTGTCACAGTGACACTTATGTGGTTATTTCTGTACTTACCCATTTGATGTCTACCTCTCTCTCCCCCACCACCCAAGTAGATTAGAAACTTCAAGGAAGGTTGTGAATTTTGACTACTGCCGTTTGGTTAGCACCTGGACTAAGACCTAGTACATACAAGGCACTCAATTATATATAACTGAATCAAACCAATGAGAGATGTATGCTTGTACATGTTAAAGCACACAAAACAATAATAAAAAACAATAAAAAAAAACCACCAAAAATCTAAGCAAAGCTCCACCCAGTGCAAGACCTGTGTTTGGTGGTGGTGGAGGGGGGAGATAAGGATTACTTATTGTTTATTTATTTGGCCTATATGTATGTCTGTGGACCATGTGTGTGCCTGATGTGGTGGGGGTCAGAAGAAGGTATCAGATTCCATGAACAGGAGTAATGGATGATTGTGAGCTGCCATGTGGGTGCTGGGAACCAAAACCAGGTCCTCAGCAGGAGGACCCATGCTCTTCACTGCAGAACCATCTCTCCAACCCCAGAGCAGAGGCTCTTCTCAACAGCTAAGTTCTTCCCAACCTCTGAGAGCTGACCCTGCTTTTGAATTGGAAGTTCACACTTCACCCCTGCACTATAGAAAGTGTGCTTAGCCTGAGAAGTTCCATCTTACATCACACCTAACAAAACATTTAGTGAGAAAAAGGAGAAACAACCCACTCCAGACCTGAGACTCCATGAAATAATTTCCTGCTAGATCCAGAAGTGACTAATTCCAGACTAGATCAAATGGAACAAACTACCAACACACCACACACTCAGGTCAGAGCAGGGGACACTCCATAAGGACACGTAGTTCCTCCCCAGCCAACACCATCTTATAGGAACACACTCAAGCTCCTCAGAGGACTTAACTAGAATTACAAGTGTTAAAGAGGTTTTATTTCCATGGTCCATATGGAATGAAAATATGCTTCTCTCTGCCTTTGATCCAAACAATCGCACACAGATGTGACATTTATTTTGGTCCTTAAAAACTCAAGTCTTGTTTTGGTCTGGGAGACTAAGAAGAGGCAGAGCTAGCTCTAAGTTGGGGCTGGCTAAATAGTACTCTAACCAAGATGCCTAGCAGAGAACCAAGCTCTCAGAATCTCTGCCCACCCACCCCTATACTGGCGTAGCCTGGAGAGCAGGGCAGCACTCACCGTCTGTCACAGCACTGCCATTAGGCACGCTTCCCAGATCAACAGTTGGCCCATCCAGGAAAATTGTCAGCTCTCCTCCGGAGACAACACTGCCTTTGTTCTCCGTCTGCAGGTTCAGGGTCAGTTGCGTGTTCTCCACTGTTCAATACAAAATACATCATGGACAGACTAAGTCAAAAGCACAAGTTAGGATTCTTTAAGTTAGAGGCCTCCCTTCCACTTACTGTGGCTTCCCTGGCAGTGCTTTCCTGCCCTTTCCAATGTGTCTTATGGCATGAAAAGCAGAGTAGGGTGCAATGTGCTGAATGATAGTGAACTTCACGTTGGGCAGGTGGGAAACGCATACTGTTTCTCAAGACACTTTATATCCCACATTAGCTACAATATCTTTACATTATTGGTTTATGTGTGCTTGCTTACAAGCTAGTATGTAGAGGCCAAGGCTACTGATTGGGGCACAGAAAAAAAAAAAAACTGGGCGCAAGCTACACCCCTACTATGCATAGGAAGGACAAAACAAGAAACACCCCTGCACATACCCTAGCAGGATACACTCAATAGCTTCCAATTAGGCAAGTATCTATCCACAAGGAACACTTTAGTTCTCTTCAGTCTGGTGTAGCCAGGAGTTGGAGCCTCCATCTCAAGGTCAACAGTTACAAAGTGAGAACCAGCAGGCAGATGTCCACAGGCTTGGAAAGGAATAGCCTCATGCTAGAGTCTCCCAGCTCACCTGTCCTGTACCATGTGTTACCTGTGGTTACATTATTATAAACTATCATTCCTATCTCTAGGGCAGTGGTTCTTAACCCTCCTGATGCTGTAACCCTTTAATATAGTTCTACATGCTGTGGCGACCCCAACCATAAAATTATTTTTGTTGCTACTTCATAACTATAATTTTGCTACTGTTACGAATTGTGATGTAAATATCTGTATTTTCCAATGGTCTTAGGCAACCCTTGTGAGAAAGTTGTTCACCACCAAAGGGATGGAGACCCACAGGTTGAGAACCATTGCTCTAGATCAAGGTAGTCTATGGATAAAGAGTTCCCATAAGCACTAAAGTAAATTTGAATATTTTCCGGAGATCATTCTTCTCCCCAATGAGGAAAAAAAAATGAAAGCCAGATTCCAACCTAAGAGAGACCCAGCCCCTTTAAGAACTTAAGAGCAGGGCTGGAGAGATGGTTCAGCAGTTAAGAGCATGTACTGCTCATACACAGAACCTGAGTTCCATTACTATCACTCATGTCTGGCAGCTCACAACCACTTTTAGCTCCAGCTCCAGGGGTTCTGACACTCACCCCTGCCTTCCATGGACAACCTATACCCACACAGACACAAGCATACACACATAATTTAAAGGAAAAAAACAAGCAAACATGGAGATGGAGAGACGCCTCAGAGATTGAGAGCACTGGCTGCTCTTGCAGAGGACCTGGGTTCAGTTCCCAGAACTTATATGGCACCTCACAACTGTCTGTAACTCCAGTTCCTGGGGATGTGATTCCCTCTTATGGACTCTGCAGACATCATATGCACATGGTAAACATACATACATATAGGCAAACACTCACGCACATTAAATGAAAATGTATCTTAAAAATAAAACTAAAGGGGCTGGGGAAATGGCTCAGTGATAAAGAATACTGGCTGCTCTTCCAGAGACCCTGGGTTCAATTCCTAGCACCTACATGGTGGCTCACAACCATCCATAACTGTAGTCCCATGGGATCCAATGCCCTTTTCTGGTATGCAGACATACATGCAAAGAAAATACCCATAGATATAAAAAATAAATCTAAAATAAAGATTAAAATAAAAAATTATATGTACATATATACACACACACACCAAAAAGACAGACCCATCCCAGGTCTCTGAAGTAAGACAGATTCCCAGGCTCTCTAAAGCATTTCCTTCCCTTAATCTCTGTCCTGCCCTGGGTCTCTTAGGCTCCTTTTTCCTTCTGTCTCTATATTTGGTTAGTTTCATTGAGAAACTTGGTGAACTCTCATGTTTCTATAAAATAACAGTGGGAATTTAGAAACTTTTGACAACCAAGGAGTAGAGGAGGAAGTAGGAGTACCTACTGATACTGTTTCAAGTACACCACCTGGGAGCAGACTCTCCAGGCCCAGTCAAGCCCTTGCATGACAACAGCCCAAGTATGGAGCCTTAAGACATCCCCAACAATGCTGTTCCCAAATCCTGACCCACTGAAACTATGAAATAAACCAGGCATGGTGAGGCACACTTTTAATCCCAGCAGGCAGATCTCTGAGTTTGAGGCCAGCCTGGTCCAACCCTGTCTCAAAAAACAAAAAGAAAAAGAGGAGGAGAAGGAGGAGGGAAGAGGAAGAGGAAGAAAGAGGAGGAGGAGGAGGAGGGAGGAGGAGGAAGCAAAGAAACTACGAATGATATGGTTTGGTCTCCTGCTTAAGTGGGTGCTGTTTTCTGTGTGACTGATTTAAGGTCAGAGAGTACCCCTCCAATAAGCAGCATGGGGGTAGGGCCGGCCAGTGTGGTCAGGCACTCTGGACTCGATCTTAGTGCTGCTACCAAAGAGCTGTGACTCTGCAAGCCACAAGTTACTTATTTCAGCACTGGTTCCCTCATTGGCAAAATAGAGGAATCAAAGCACATTCTGCGGAGGACACGTGTGAAAACTTGGGTGGCACTGAGGAAGTTCCTAAGCTGCCATTTTTACTATCTACCTTGACTTCCATGTCTAGAGGCTAAAATGCACAGCATTCCCTTGGTCTACCTATCATGAACTCTTACAGTCACTGGACTTTTCTCTGGGACTTTTTAGGTTGCAGCAGCAAACTCCACAAAACTTTCCAAGCTATATGACCATCACAAGGGAACAAAGGCTTATAGATAGGAGCCAGGGACAGATGGAAGCCACCAGGCCCATCCTACAAGAACACTCTTGGGAGATGTTCGACAGATTGAGAGTATCTGCATGGATTCTCAAGCGGTTTTGTAGGAAAACAGGCTGCAATTTTCCAGAATAAAGTCATAACAGCTTCAATTTACCTTCAAATAATTTAGACAAAAAAACTGCACATAGGGAGTTAGGAGACAACTCAGCAGGGAAGAACATTTTCTGCACAAGCATGAGGACCTCAGCTGGATCCTAGCAGCATTAAAAAAAAAAAAAAAAAAGCCAAATATGTGGGCTGGAGAGATGGCAAGAGCACTTGTTGCTCTTACAGAAGACATGGGCTCAATTCTCAGCACCTACATGGCAGCTCACAAGCATCTGTAACTCCAGTTCCAGAGATTTCAACACCCTCTTCCATCCTCTAAGGGCACTAGGCACTCACATGGTATACACTCATCCAGGCAAAATACCCATGAGCATAAAATTATTATTACTAATAATAACAATGATGATAACAACAGTTAAAAAAACAAAAAACATTTTTAGAGCCACATGTGGATGCATTCCTGTCACCCCAGCACTGCCAGGGGTGGTGACTGGGGTTTGTTGGCAACCAGCCTAGCCCCAGACTTGGTGCAACTCTGTCTCAAAGAAGTAAGGTAGAAAGTGATGGATCAGAACACCTGACATACTCCTCTGGTTTCCACTCGCACACAAACACATGCACGTATGCACACACGCACAGCGGGTACAGACACATCACACACAAATACACTACACACACGCACGCTCCACATACAGAGAAGATGAACCAGTGGTGAAATGGCAAGTGTGTACCAAGGCCCTGAGTATTGATCCCATCACCCTTTCAATTCTGTACTTTTGTGAGTTTCATAATAAAAGTAGAGGGCCCTGAGTATTGATTCCATCACCCTTTCAATTCTGTACTTTTGTGAGTTTCATAATAAATGGTTGGCAAAGTTTTTTTTTAATTGGCAAAGCTATAAAAATATTAAACCA